TGCTTAGCCCAGTTAGTATTGTAGTCGTAGTCGCAACATGGCAACAATAGAACAATTTCTATAGCATACTTTGGAGCGCAGCACTTGACACTGATAACACATCGTCTGGCGCATTAAATGGACAAAGGCTTTTGGCACGGGCATTATGCAGCCAGCTTACGACATTCTTTCCTCCTTCAACCTGCCCTGCTCCTCTTGTATATACATTTACAATGCTGTCAGCTGCCCTGGCGAACCTTCTGCCATGTTTGCAACGTCTTTGTGGCTTAAGGCAGTGCTGCCTTCCTGTCATGTTCTCTTCTGCTATCGTTCTTTATTTGCCCTCCTCAAGCCGAATGCGTCTTTCGCTTATTTACTCGCACTTCCAACATTTGCATGTAGCATTGTCAAGCGACAACTGCAACTGCAACTGTAACTGTAACTGTAACCCAATTTTCTCCACCTAATTGTTTCATTATGGCGCCGCATAAAAAAAAGTCAGATCCCCCTCCCCCACTTGTCAAGTGGAGTGACTAAAGTAATGTAGAAAGAAATGTTTGTCTGGAACCCCATCTGCAGTGACGTTTATGTGGCTTATGTGTATGTGTGTGTGGGTGTGTATGTGTGTGTGGGTGTGCGTGTGTGTGTGTATATGTGGGTGTATGTGGGAACCACAACTGAAATACACGTAATGTAACTTGTAATGTGGCTTTGACTTGATTGGCCAGCCTTTGCAGATGCTTGCTGCTCTTGTTGCAGCCATTGTTGTTGCAACCTACTTTGTACAGCTTTTGTTTGTTTTTAATTAGCCGCAATAAACGCTCACACACACACACACACACACGCATACACGCACTGATGGGTCACGTTCGCTAGACCCACTTAAAATAAACAATTGGCAAATGGCATTTTACCAAGCAATTGAATTTGTGCCGAGGCCTTGAAACAATTTGTTATTCTTTTATGTAGATTGATCCCACCACACCACACCGCACACCACGCACCATACACCCCTGCAACGATGCTCCCCGCATGCTGTTGCTTGTCGGTAATTAACTCGCACAACATGTGCCTAACTTTGACTCTATTTAAATGCCACTGCCCGAATAAATATACATATTTATATATGTATGTATATATGTATGTGAGTAGTGGGCTGCTCAAAATCAAATTAGCAGCCAGCAAGCCGAAATATATAAATCTGCTGATTTACACAGAAATAAAGCCCCGAGCCAGTCATATGGCAGCCATAAAAACAAATTAAGCCAAACTGTTAAGTAAACAACTTTTGCGGCCATCTCGCCGACAGTCGTAAGCCAAGTTAGCCAAACTCTGTAGTCAATTCTGCTCACCCAAACATATACATATACTCGTAAAGTAATCTTATTAATTCCTCGAAAAGCAGAGCAGACGGACAATGCGGACAGGGCGGGACCAAGCATGGCCCACTAAACACTCGGTTAATACGCGCAATCAAATGCGATAAATATAACGATATATTGTAGCATAATTTTGGCCAACTAAGCTGACAGAAATAACACTTAAGCAAATATTCCAACAGCCTTGAATCACATTTGGGGCCACCCCCTTTGTTTTTGACCATTTTGCCTGGCTATTAAGCAATGTTTGCCATAACAAATTCTGGACATCGAATTAGAAATGGAAAAGAGGGGACGAGGTGGGGTGTCGCCTATGTATGAGTAATCGCTTTCATGCTTGATGGCTAAAATGATTAATAGCATTTCGGGCATTGGCTCAACTCCAAGATTAAACGCAACAGTTTTGAGTGCTGATCATTTGTTATATATGTACATATATACTTACATATATATATCTATATATCATTTTTAGTAAGAGGCTTACTGCCTAAGCCTTTATGTAATATGTGCAAGACTAATGAAATTCTTGCAAAATTATATGAAAATTTTGTTTTTTGTTTTAACACGTTATTCTATAAGTTGAAACATACATTTTTTAACTTCTTGACCCATTTATAGGTGGCTGTTTGTAATTGTTAGTTTCTCTCCAAAAATAACTTCCAGTTGCGAACAGATGCTTTATCGCATGTACGATTCAACTAGCCATGAACAATTCAAACAACCAGCCCCTAAAAACTTGGCACCCGGCAAGCATTTTACACGCAGAGCAAATTATGTTCTTGAATTTAGAAATTCACTAAACCTTTGGAGTAAGTATGAGATCTGCTTACTTCTGTACACAGGGTTAGCAAAGGGACTCTAAATTCTAGTCTATCTATTTCATATTCTATAAATTTATAAAAAGGGTTTGCATTACAAATATTTTGCTTTTGACTTTAAGAAATGTATTTCCTAAATTTAAAAAATATTGCTTGAAAAGATGTTTTGTTCTTCAGTGCGCTTTTAATGCAATATTGAATTTCTTTCTTTGTTGATATTTTTTCAAAGTGTACAAATTCGTTGTTGGAATTGCCCTTGTTGCGTCTCGATGCGATGCATTTCTTTTCTGTCTCTTCTTTTTTTTTTTTGTTGGTTGAATTGCTTCTGCTGCTACTGCTGTTTCTGTTTTTGTTGGTTGATGCTCTGTGTGTCAGTGGCTCTGGCATTTTTTGTTTGCTTGTATTGCCTGCTAGCTGGTTTGCCCCTACTAGCTGGTCAATTTGACTATGACATGAGCCCGCAGCTACTGCTGGCCATAAAACATGTCCGAGGCATGCAAACAATTTCATGCGAGCTGAGTGCACCAGCTTTAACCAACTAAGGCATAAAGCGAAAGCTAAAGATTCGACGAGTATATCAATTTGGCTTCTTAACTGCCAACTTTGGCCGACAGCTTAAAGTTGCGTCAAGCTGCAGACGCATCGAGTTTTTCACGCACATCATCAACACGCAACAAGCAAAAACATCATGATAAAGACGAACGACGACAATTTCAACATGTCAGTCGGCGACAGCAACAGGATGTGAAAGTGGAATTGCGATTCGGTTTGTATTGGGGGCCAAATAAGTTTTAAGGGATGCGCCTTGTGGCAGTCGTCACGAGGTTGAAACTATTATCCACGGAAATAAGCGCGCTTCAATGACAACAAAAAAACGCATGAAATGTATAAAGTTTTTGCCCCGCTTCAAGCTAAATTTCAAAATGTTTGTTGACATCGCTGATATTGTGCTCCAAGTGTTGTTATAGTTGTTTTTATTGTAACTACTTGTTGTGGCTGATTAGGTTTCAACATATTATTCAACCGTGAAACTTTCTTAATGGGTATTAAGCACACATAGGTGAGAGCATTTGAAAAAATAAATGGGACAGCAACAGTCAAATTACGATAATTAAATAACACCGCAATGTTGTCAAAACTAAACCGATTTTATTTATAGTTTTTCATTTTAATTTATTAAATAAATTTTCATTTTAATTTCATACTTTGGTTCTTCATTAATACTGAACTTGATATTTTATTTGTAAAAACAGTGAGTAGTAGAAAATTATTTATCGTTTATTAAATATATCTAGCCAAATCTATAAATTACAAATAAATCAACTCGGCTCTATTCAGCAAATGTACAAATAAAGATAAATTACGTTATACTGTCGAGCTATTTTCTAGTCGTTTCCCCTTTTAACTAAAGCACTCTTACTTGTTCCGCTTAAGTTGGTGGCCATAAAATGGCCGACATACATTTTTGCACATAAAATGTACATAATATATGTGCGTATATGCGCAAATAGTTGAGATGGCAACGGGAATGGAATCATACGCTTCGGTCAGCTAATAGCAAAAGCAAGTCAAAGATAATTGCTGCCGACTACTTTGTCGTTTTGTGCTTTGCATTTTTGTGCGGACGGCCGCCTCAAAAGATACACTCAAAATTTTACGAGCGCAAATCCCATTAAATATCCAAACGAATCTACATGAGGCGACTCTTACTTGGCTACGTGGAAGTTGCCAAATCCAAAGTCGCTGCCTTAACACTGGTGCGTCTAGTCCTTTACCATCTTCTACTGCCTAGTCGCCTGATACATGGTGTTGCCATTTTATTGCGGGCCATCAAAAAATGTTAAAAGCACGATTTCCATACCCATTGTCTGGAGCCTGTAATTGCAGGCTGTCTGAAATTCAGTACTTAGGAGCATGGAAAAGCAATTTCAGCTTGTAATGAAAATCCTTTCACAGCAACATTTTATGTTAATGTTATGAGCTGTACAGTTAACATTGCCGCTTAGCAGAGCCAGATAAAAGCGCGTGGAGACTTTTGAGATGGCTGTTAATTTAACAGACTGTTAACTATAATTCACTCTGTAAAGGACTATGTAACTTTTTAGTTCGATTTATAGAATGTTGGAGATAAGCTTGCATTCCTATTAAAACATTTTTTTATTTTGGCAATAATTTGTTATTAGTTTGGCTTACATGCTTGTTTATGTTTAGTTATGTTAGTGTTAACAGAAAAGATTAAGTTACAATACCGGCAGCCACCCAAATAGTAACTGACCCAGAAATGCGAGTGAGTTGTAAGAGAGAGAGAGAGAGAGCGAGAGAGACAGAGAGTCGTCTGGCGACAAAGCGACAAAAGAGCAATGACAACACTGTAGTGGACCAAAGTGAAACGAGTCTCACATTGTTGAGGCAGGTGACGAAGTGTTTAACTTCGTCCTTGATACGACAATATGTTACGCTGGGCACGGCTGCAAGTAAAGACAACAACAGCAGGAGGTGGCAGTGGCAGTGGTTGCTGCTACGGCATCTTCGTCTCCTGAGTTTTTAGCGAAGAGTCGTCGAAGAACGAGAAAAAAAATATGAAACAACAACAACGACGAAAGGACGACGAAAAAGTTTGCGCTGCTGCAGCTAGCGTCGCTGCCGGCGTCGCCTTTTTGGCCACACGCTGTGCGCGCCGAACAGTTGGCCCCAGCATCAGTCTCGAAAAGCCTTCTGTGCGTGCAGAGGTTAACGCGTGCAACACACACCTCGTATACGCAACGTCCAAACGACCAATACAACCAAAAAAAAAAAAAAAGACGTAACGAAAGCCGGCACGTGAAGTGAGTGTCGACTCGAAGTCTGATAGTCTCATATTGCGGCGAGTGTTAATCCTTTGCTGCGAGCAGGTGGGCAGTTACCGGCCCAATGAACCGTGGCAGAGGCATTGAACTGTGGCGCGCCTTGACTGGACATGAGACATGGACCGGCACACGGACAGAGACAGGTACGGGGATAGGTATGGGGCAGCTGGGCAGCAGAGAAAGGACATTGACTGCTGCTGCCCCGCCTCAGCTATTGTGTGTGGGGTGCAGGCTATTAAGAATTGATGTCCATTGAAAAGTCTTAACCAGTGTGTAAGACTGACTACGTAGATAGCTGGAAGAGTTGGAAGGCTTTCTTCATTGTTGCTACGCATGTTTCTGACAGTCGGCTGCTTTAGGGCCAAAACACCAACAAAATAGAAAATATGAGAAAAGCAGGTCAACGGGCTAAGCAGCTGAAATTGTAGACCAGCAGCAAGAGTTAACGGCCTGTTCACTTGACTTCTCGAGTGCTACCAAATTAATTAACATGACAATGACGAAGGTGAATTGCGTGTTTTAAGGGTTGCCTGCTTACAAAAGAAATTGGCGCCTCGTCGTTTTTCATTTGCTCACAGCTCAACTCTCAGCTCTCAAGCGATGAGCATTAAAAAATTTACCAAACGTGTTGCTTTTGTATTTTTTTGTTTTTTTGTTTTGCTCCCATGATTTTCGAAGCATTTACAAGTTTTTAATTAGACCCTTTATGTGTCGGAGGGGCAACAAAAAACCCTCGTAATTAATTGTTTATTGTTAGCGATTTTGAGGCGTGTCGAACGTGAAAGAATTTGCATCGCTATTTGCCCTATTGAAGGCGTCTCATTAAGAGTGGGCGTGGCAACTCAAATTGCGGCGAGTTGACAGACAGAGCCATAATTAAGTGTGAAGTTAATAGCCATTAACATCAGGTTGTCATTTAAAAGCTTGGCCGTGCAAGCACATGAATAAATTTCAATGATCAACCAGAATCTAGTTAAATAAATAGACTGATTTCTAAACAGATAAATAGATGATTATATTAAAATGTTCAAAAGCTTAAAAGATATTTCTGATGTATATATTTTAGATTACATTCTACCTCTTGATTTATTGCTTAATCCTTTTTCTAAAACTATATCTAGATTATGAATTCATAGCTATCGGCAAGTGCTCGATAAACGATTATAAGGTCTGTTTTAGGCAGTTACCAACTGCTTCTCAAAAGCACACCCTGTTTTAAAAGAATACCTATTTCGAACAGTTTTATTTCAAAGTTTTATTTTAATTAACACAGCTTCTGCAGTCAGTTTTTGTGTAAGCATAAAAGTTGTTAACAAATCAATATTAGAAATATTTTCATATTACAAATAACTGTAGCATTCTTAAAGCTGAACGCCTTGTGGCTTTAAGAAAATTCGGTTGTATGTAGTATAAATTGCTCGTCACGTTTCCACATCACTCAAAACAATCCCCGCCCTTAGCATTTGTCTAGCAATAAGGGGATGGTTGTCAGCTGCTGGTTCGAGAGCTGGCACTTAAACCCTTTGACAATGTCACAAGGGTAGCATCAAGTTGATGGCTCTGACGGTTACGCGGTGATCATCATGACGATAATGATTATGATGATGATGTGGCTAAATTCAAAGCAGCCATCACATATGAACCAGAAGAAGCATACACTTTTTAAAGGCATAACAATATTGATAAAAGAAAAACGCGAAAAAAAAATTACCAGTACCAAAATAGAAACGATATGAACTCATACGTGAAGTAACTGGGATGGTGGCAAACTGGAAGGCCAGGATGCTCAAAGGAGTCCTTATTTGAGTTCAAGCATCCTTTAATGGAGGGTAATGACAACTCAAGTACATGTGCATAAATGTTTTATGTTACATAAGCGAACGACTGTTAAACCTTACAGGCTCTTGACTTACAACAAATTCATTGTTCGATGCCTGCTTGCAGATTTACAAGCAAGTGGCTAATTTATTTGTCAGCCACGACTGAGGATTGAGGAATGGGAACGGAAACTCATTAAATCATACATTTTTTAAATAAATATGCAATGCCTTATGCTTTTTTATGGGACGAGGCAAGAAATTGAAAATGCAAAGCACTTCAAGTGACAAACACAGACACACACACACACACACCGATGGGCATAAGGGAACACAAATACAAATACAAATACGAATGCAAACAGAAAAACGAGCATAAATACATGTATGCTTAGAGAGGGAATGGGTCACGAGGCGACGCAACAATAATTTATAAATGAATGAATAAAGGGCGCAGGGCAGAGGCACAGATACAGGCGGGGGCACAGACACAGGCACAGTGGCAATGGCAAATAAAAATAAATAAATAAAAATGGCAATGCGGCATAAAATGTGCCGAGGAGAGGAGATGCGAACAAACGGCGAAATGTAACTGCGGCGCGTTTATTTTATTGCGTATACGCAACGTCCCCACCCAAAGTAGGCAAAACACATTTGCTGTCTCTCACCCCATATGACTTATTTGCTCATGTGTATATTCTGCTTATGTATATTATGCTTATATGTATATGAGATTGTGTGTGTTTGTGTGTGTGTTTCTGTGTGTGTGTTATATGGCCACAGCAGCAGCCACGCAGCGGCTCAACTTATTTTCCACAAAATTAAACCATCAAAAATTTGCCAACAACAATGCCGGGGTAATTTATTTGACTCATGGCGTTTTGCCGGGTTGTTTAGAAAGCGCCAGCCGCAGCCGCAACAACAACATTAACAGCAACAATGTTATACATGCCTGCAGTACACAACAACAACAATAATACAAAAAAAAAATAAAACACATACTCAAACAAGTAAAAACGTTGCCGTTGAACATTAGAATCGAATGCGTTATACTCTGTTCCCAAGGTGAAATAAAGCAATTTTTTTGTGAGAAATTAAATGTACACCCGAAAATCATAGATTTATCTGACAATATCAATTATGACTCATGATAACACTACTTCGGCTTGTGCTCAGTTGGTTAACTCGAAGAGAATGAGGTGGCATTGCTTCAATTTAAGATTCGAAGTCTACGTTTTAGAGCCAATTCCCGTCAAGAGCGGTTCACAGTATTATAGTACAAGTATGTGTTTCAAATGTCTACTTTCAATATAGTCAAATAACCAATATACAACATTATATTCGATATTAGGGTATAGAAAAACAGTATTTAAAGCAAACAAATAGCGAGCGGCTTGTGCATATGAGCAGCCCGCAATACGAACAACAACAGCAAAAGCCAAAAGCAAAAAAAACAACATTGGCTGCGGCTGTGGTCATGTTAGTGATGGGCAGGGGCAACGGTTACGGTGTGGCTGCTGATCTGGGTAAGGGTGCAGGTATGGGCAGCCGAGCTACAGCCGAAAGCCGGCTGGGTTGATGTACACGACGCATACATCAACGGGCTTTGCGCGGACGGACTACATACTAACATTTTTTGGCTTGCGGCCCTTTGACGTGGCGCACTTTTTGTTGCCAAAATTAAACAAACTGCTTGCTGGACGAACAGCAGCTGGAGAACTGCGCTACACTGTGATGATGAATTGATGATAATGCCGCTGGGGATTTAGGCAAATACTCGTACACGTAATACTTTAGCACTCACATCCCCTGAGCTTCCTGCTTTTTTTCTTTCCTGTTTTTATGGCTTGACGAACTGGGCTTGGAAAGAGTTAAGCATTTATTTATTTACATACACATTTTTGTCTGTTTATGTTGCTGTCATTTTTTTTCTTTCTATTTTTTCTCCTCTTTATTATTATCGTACAGTTTATTAAGTCTCAAGTGGCGAGTCTCAGTCTCGCTCTCCATCCACCATGCTTACAGGCAATTTCATGCAAAGTTGCGCGCGCCTAAAGCTGTCGTCCTTGATGGATGGCTTTTGACGCAAGCAGCCAGCATTTGGCGGAAGCCAATTTGATTTGCGAATCATCCACAAACTCTAAGGGTGCTAAGGGATGGGCAACAGTCAATCGGTGAATGGCCTGCAGCACAGAACTGTCGTTGTACATCTATAAGGGGTAGAGCGTACCAAATTAGTGCTTGCATTTCGACTAGCTGACGTACTGCAGATTTAACTCTTTATGTATCTACCCTATAATAGTCGGCCTTATTCATCCATTTGATCTGTGATCACATTCAACTTTCAATTTTATAGTCAAGCAGCAGCTATTAAGCTCATCTTGTCAATCATGTTTTTCAACAATAAGACGGAGTTGAAATGCGGCTAGCAGTCAAATAAAACTGAGCTATCTACTAAGGACGAACTTGTTGCAACGGGACATTTATAATAATATATAATGAAAATCTTTGCTGCTTGGAAATTTACTAAATTGAATTCAACAAATAATACTAGTCTAGGAAAGTCAATATTATGTAGCAAGCTTTACTCTATTTTTCTAACAAAAATTCAAATAAATAATTAATTCCATGGTAAAGCTTTATTTATTATTATTTATTTATTTATTTATATTAAATATAATTCAGCTTTTACCATAACTAGAGATATTAAATAAAAAAAATATTCATTTTATATTTTCCTTTTCTTAAGAGCCTCCCTTCACAGACAAACCTTTTACTCGATTTTCCCTTTACACTTATTCGAAATTCAGAAAATTTTCAATTGGGGTTTTCTATATCATAAATATATAGTAAATCTGTATTAAATCGAATACAAGCATAGTCCGATTTCCTTTTCTACGTCAAAGTTCGTATATAAGACGTTGTCTTATCATTATGTCTTTCTATGATAGACAGAATAACTATGTTAAGAACATGCTGGCAATCCGCATGACGTATACGCCCCGGGGATTGCAAGTGCAACAATCAGCTTCGTGCTTTACATGTCTTGCGTGTCTGTCTAGACTTTAAGCCAATGCTAAATCGGATCGTTGCCAATGTCTGTAAGTCGACGAGATGGATATAAATTCTGAGAGATAGCAGCAGCAGAAGCAACATCTACCATAACAACAACAACAACAACATTAGCAACAGCATACAGCGATAAATCTTTTGCTTGGATTTTGGCAGTAAGCCGCCGAGAAGTTACCTTTGTGAGGAAGTATGCCAAATGCAGGCCAACAAACTTATTTTGATAAACTTTCACTGAAATTTACTGCTGGCAAAATAGAAAATCTTAAAGACCAAGCAAATGTTTATAGGAATTCCAACAACTGCAACTGAGAGAATAAAGCAAGCCATAAATATTATCAACAGCATAAATTTGACAAGACAAACTAACCAAAATAGACTAAAACCATAAAAAAAAAGTACAAAATAATACCAAAACAGCGGGTGAACCGGCGAATTTAGCAGCAGGCAAACTGGCAGGCAACTGCTGCACTTCCTGCTACTGTACAACTGGTGCGTCTTCTTTGTGGCAGGCGCGAATTTCCGTTCCTTATCGCGGCAATGTAAACGCGTTTCCGCCTTATGCTCGCACGCCCCATCGTCAACAGCAGCAGCTTAAGACAATATTAAACAGTTAGCTTGTGCAGCATAACCATAGAAATTTAAAACGGTTTTAAAAATGTGCAACCCGCCAGCAACACAGACCACAGCACTGGCAACGCAAACGCATCTGCTGCTGCTACGGCTCCTCAGCTCCCAGCTCTTGATCGTGAGCATCCTAAATGGTAAGTACACTCTGAAAAGAATCCTTTTCTATATTTAAGGAAAATCGGAAAAGAAATACTGCTGCAATGTGATAAATGCCTTATGTACTCATTATATTCGTAAGCCATATAATTAAAAAGAAAAATCATTAAATAAAGCTCAAAAATTAATATCGAGTCCAAGTAATCAAGTTGAGCATCTGTATGTGTTTTAAGGACGCAACTGTTTTAAGTTCGATTATACTTAACTTATACCGGAAAAGTGTCATATATATTAAATACAATAAAGCATATAATTTTCAAATATTTATGCTGGTGATTAAGCGTAAATTGTTACTGAAGCTCTGCATAAATGTCATAAATGTTCAACCTATAATTTGAGCCACGATTTATTTTCATTTGTAACTTATTTACACAACTATTTACGAATGAGAATTGCCAGTGGCAGCAGCAGCAATGTGCCCAACAAAAACAGGAGCAACAATTCAATAAATGCAACAATTTGCATCGACAACAGTCATAAATTTATCTTAAATGAACAAATATTTTCTTGCTGTTGCTGATGCTGCTGATGGTTGCTATCCTGGCAAATAAAATGCGATATGGATACACAAAAAGCTTATCATTGCCGCAAAAGGCAGCAACAATCGTAATAACAACAGCAAAAGCAATAATGCACTGCATGGAAAAAGAGCTCGAATTTGACAATGCATTTCAATTTGTAATGCATTAAAGACAAAGTGCATACAGAATCAGGCAATACATAATAAATACTTACATTCAATAAATATACTTGTATACATAATGGAGCTTTTACCACATTTCGTATGTAAATTGCCAGTAGTTACATATATAAGTACTCTATATATATATATATATATATATATATATGTATATACGTTCTTAAGTTCGTTTTGTGTCAATTTCTCGTTCGCTTTAACTGAAGACCAAATTGAACATTGGAATTCATCAAAGGACTTAAAATATCGCAAGTAATAAATAAAGGAATGCATAAGAAACATATCAACTGCAAAAAAATGAATGAATATTTGTAACTTCTGTTCGGTAAATATTAACGAGTAAGCATAACCGACTAGAAATTACTCTATATTCAGCTTTGGAATTACTTACTGATTGATTATCATAGTGAATGTATTTTTTTTTATTTGAATGTGAATAATATGCACATTATTACATCGCTCTATTTCCAAAAAATACATTAAACTAAATCAATAATCTGAACCGAACTCGGCTATAATAATAACAATTTCACTCTGCTGGCTGCTATATGCATAATAAAGACAACAATTGTTAAAATTTAACAAAGCATAATTGCATGCCATCAAAAATGTACTTTGACAAATGTCATTGTTTTTCTATCCTGTACTTTTGTTAGCCTGCAGTTTAAGTACATATGTATTTATGTAGAGTCATATGCTTTCGATATCTGATCAGTGTGGACAATATTTTGATATCTCTCAGCTTGGCTTGTGAGCAGTATAAAAATATGTCAAATGCAAATTATGCGCATAAATATAAATAAATATATGAATCCACAAATAAATATGTCGCATAAAACGATATGTGGTTGCCACACCGACCCGCACCCACATGCCACATGCCACATGCCACACGCCACTTGCCATTTGGTGTAAAAGTCAATTTGCTTTTTGCTATCGCCCAAAAGTCGCTAGTGTCATAAACATTGCCAAAATGGCGTGTGGCCGCCAAAGTAAATAAAAGCCCAAGTTGATAGCAAGCGGAAGCGGAAGCAACAGCGAAACCCAGAGGCAAAGTGGCGGAATGTGCCGCACTTGTGGCAAATGCAAAATAATTGCATATTTATGTGAGCAATCGGAGCAGCTTCGATAAATATAAATCTGCTCCGATGCGCCTTTTAATGATGCACCAAATGTGCAAATTTATGACTGCTTACAGATATACATATGTTTGTGTATCTCATGTCTGCATTTCACCAGCTGAATAATTTCAACTAAATGTATGGCCATCTGGCAGCTCATATTTCCCATCAGTGCACTTTGATGTCTGATTTGACTTTTCCTTGAACGTCCAGCAATTTAATTTAAATTGCACGATCTTGGCCAATTTCATCTAATTGTTTATCAGGCAATCGATATTCATTATTATTTATTTATTGTCAAAAACTGTTCTCAATCGTTGCTTCAAAAGGTTTTTAAACTATGGACTTTTGACATTCAAACATAAAGCCTGTAAAGGAAATATTTAATATCAGCTTCTTTTAAATAAAATATGCAGAATTCAGAAGGATGTCAAATATTTCCAACTCAGAAAGAAGAGAATGATTAGTTGAGGTGGTTGCACATTATTTATTTATTGGCTCCTGGCCATTTTAAAATGTTGATGCTGAAAATTGTACATATATTTTTGGCTTAAGAAAATTGCCTAATTAGGCGATAAGATTCAGGGTATTTGTATTTATACAAAAAAGACGCACACAAAGAGAATTAATCATTAACGTCAATTGTGAAATTGGTTGACATCTGCTTTCAGTTCTCTATCAATTGCCCTCATTTTGATGCAATCCTTTCAAAAGAACAAAGCATATTTTAGTTTTTGGGGGTGCACATAAAAAAACGTATGTGTGTAGCACGTTTCAGAGATAGCGAGGCACGGCGATAAAAGGAAAGGGAAAGGGAGAGATAGAGATAGAGATAGAGAGAAAGCAGGAAAGTAATCCAATGAAATTCAGTTAAAATCACTCAAGAGCATGAATGGCATCATTTTATCTCGCCGCTTGGCTTTTGTTCTAGACTGCGGAAAAGGAAGCGCGTTGATGATAATAATGCCAACACTTGGCTTTTGTTTTAGTCACCGCAGCGCCAACAATGACAACAACAAAAACATGACACTTTAATAGCATAAATGCGGCACTAAACAAAACCAAAATCAACGAATAATGCTGATGGGGAAGGGGAACTGGCACAGGAACTGGAATAGGAAGGAGCAAGTGAAATGGAAAGGGAAAGGGGCCAGGCAGACGGAGGAGAGCGCCAGCAGCGCACAGCTGTCATAATGAAACAGTCAAGGACAATGGCGGCCAACGGAAATACAAAGTGTACGTGTTTCGTACAGGCCCAGTGACCTCACCACACGCCACACCCCTCCCTGTGCTGCTCTTCTAGCTGTCTGTCGCACCGACGCGATAAAAGCACCAAACGAAATGTTGTCTGGATGAAGGGGGCTGGCTGCCATTTATAAGAGCATCAGTTACAATAACACTGGCCGCGCGTTGTGGGCGTGGCCAGCCGACAACAATAGCCAGGCCATTGTCATAAATTAAAAATGAGGAAGTATATGAAATTTAACAAAAACAAACGGCCCGCGGAACAGCACCAGCAGCAGCAGCAAAACCAACAACGGAAATACAAAAAGCGCTGATAAATAAATTTGCTAAAAAAAAAAAAAAAATGTATAATAATAATAATAAGAGTAAAAAACAGCACATGGCATAAGGCTGGAGTTTTAATGCCGCCTAAAAGTCAAAAGCCTCTGCTGGAAACAAAACAAAAATTGAAAGAACAACAGCAACAGCAAAAGCAACAATAACAAAAGAAAAACAAAGATAGCCGTCAGGCAAGTTACTTTCTCCATCAAGTAGGCCTAGGTCAATTTCTCAGCCCAAGCGTCAAAGTGGCCTCACTTAATTTGTCCACTTTCTTTCCCCCTCTCGCCTTCTGTCTTAATTTAAAGCTGATTTGCAGCGGAGCCGTAAATGTTGTCTCGGTTTTGTGGCAAGATTCAACGCGTGCTACAAATTTCAACATTTTCAAGTCACGCGTATTTGAGATATGTGTCCCTTAGTGTTACACCAGCAGCTACTTCACACAGTCCGCTATGTGTTGCCACTGCAACGAAAATAACCACAACAACAAATATCCACTCACAAAGTCTCTGGTTAGCCACCTGGCATCTAAGTCCTAACCGCAACGGCTTTGATGGAATTTTCAAATTATAACACAAAGAAGAACAAAACCAATAATATTTTGACAACGACTATATAAAACACTACTACTATGTTAGCCAAGTGAGTCGACAAACTGGGTTTAAAACTGTTAAATATAAATTTGAAAATTGTATTTATATTTAGAAAATCTTTGTGTCTAATAGCATTTGAATTTTTCTCTTAAATCCAAAAAATATGTGTACAAATAACTTCACTTTCTTTTTTAATTTACTTTTTGAATTTCACATTTCAGAATATTCGCGAGCTCCAATTTCGCTATATAGAAACCCAATCCATTTAATCTGTCAACACAAACTTGATGCATTTTAACATATAGCAAAAATTTGTTAAGGATATAGAGTAGCATAACAAAATGCTATTTTTATCAATGACAGCTCCTGTTTCGTCTACCGCATTGTCCTGCTATGTTTTTCGGCATTTCACTTTATTTTATACGTACACATATAGTACGATTTTTTTTTATTATTATTATTATTATTTTTAAGCTGATTTGCTCGCACGGCACGTTCCATTTTTAGTTTAGCTCGGTGTAGATTTTCTGGTGGACTCTCGCCCGTATGCCATCTTTGGCCTTTTGGGCATTTGTTTATGTTGAGGCTTATGGGTAACAAAAAACGAAAAAATGAACAGAAGCAAGCAAGCCAAAATGGCTCTTAAAATTTAAATATGTGCGCAGGGCTTTAATCTGCGTCCACGTGGCGTATGATGAGTTTCTGTGTGACGTCCCAAGAAGGAAGTTAAGTAAAATGCTAAATAAAGCAAGGGACACGTTCTCTTAACCCGTGCTCTTAGCCTAGAGCTGTGTATGAATAGGCAAAATGCGTCAAATTGCACGTTGCTGCCACACAATGAGGCAACACGAAACATAAAACATAGAACACAATTACAAATGAAAATATTCGTAATAATAAGCCATTTAGCACTTTGTTTCTGTTTTGTTCGTCCCTCCCCCCTCCTATTATATAATTTATATTGTTAATTCCTTGAGCAGCCGCCAGGCAGCACCACTTTCCCC